CTCAAATAAATTTGTTAGTCTCTAAAGTGCCACAAGTACTCCTGTTCTCCATGACTTGAAGTCTTTAAATCAAGACTAGGCCCCTTTCTAAACAATACGATCTTATTTAGCCACAAATTCTGGATCGTTGGGTGAAATCTATGGCCTGTATTGTGCAGGAGGCAGATTAGATGATCAAAAGGACTCATCTTGGATTTAAAATCTGTTAATCTAACCCAACCAGCAAATGTAGTTACCAGAAATATGAGGAAGCAAGCTACTGATCCTCTGAATACAATCTTTTCTAGGAGGAAGGTGGGCACTTTGATCCCAGTTTTGGAGACCCAAAAGGCTTGGGATAGTTTACCAAAGTTTCGGTAATTTTGGTTGCTTATGCAAACTACCCCAGAGCGCACCAGATCCCCTCCTCAGCTCCAGGCTTTTGAGGTTCACTCCCAATAAGTCCCACCTCAGTATTATGAAAGCGGTACTGGATAAAACACAAGAGAGGAGACAAAACAGCCTCTGTCTCAAACAGTCTAAATCACCCTTCTCCCTTACTCCCACCCAGGGTTGGTTCAAGCAAAGCTCGGCTTCCCAGACAGAAGTTCAGTTGGAGATGTCGACTAGAAGGCCCAAGATACAATGAGTGATCTTCTCCACCCCGGGGCCCCAGACCAGGTGGGAGGGAATTCAGTGCCAGACAAGGTCATCATGGGGGAGGAATGAGTATGCGCATTTGTGGAAGGAGGTTGGGGAACTGGGGATGGCGCTTTCCTGCTAAAAACAGGAGAGGTGATGAGGAGACAACAGAGTTCTGATCTAGAGGGAACCTTCCCTAATTCCACACTGAGTTCACATTATCGTCACCCCTAGAGCTCTTGCTTAGTACAAAGTTGCTCATAACCCCCACACATGGGGCGTGTGAGCCGTGAACATCACGCTAGCATTTCATCCTAGCCCTGGTGCTAAGGGGCTACATGACCCCCAGGCCCTCCGCAGCTGCAATGCATCAGCGTTGTCAGGACTGGCTCCGTTTTACTCTGCAACTGGCTGCCCAGAATTCATGAGCGCTACCGGTGGTGCCGTCCATCACCGACGCAGTCACTGGAGGAAATGAGGGTGATCTGTCCTCCTTCAAATTGGGGATGTTTTTCCCTTTTCCTATTAAAAATAATGGCCTTGGCATTATAAATAATAATATATGGAGATATACCCATCTCCTAGAACTGGAAGGGACCCTGAAAGGTCATTGAGTCCAGCCCCCTGCCTTCACTAGCAGGACCAAGTACTGATTTTTGCCCCAGATCCCTATGTGGCCCCCTTAAGGATTGAACTCACAACCCTGGGTTTAGCAGGCCAATGCTCAAACCACTGAGCTATCCCCTCCATTGCCCTTACTCACTCTTCACACTGTCTTGCGATCGGACTGCTGCACCGCAGCCATCCTTGCTGCTGATCCCCCACAGCAGGGTCTGGGGAACAGGAGAGGTAGCACATTGGCTTGTAAAATCCCTGTGCGGCACCCTTCTTTGGTCATGTGACCCTCATGGTAGCCACCTTTCCCATTTCAAAACCACGGCCCGGTGGGGGCATGCACGACACATTTCCCTTGTGGTCGAGGCTTTAAAGGTGCAGCCAAACCCCCATTTCCAATGGGCAAAGGAACGCAGGCCAGGTTTTCCTCCTTATCTCAAGTGACTTGCCAGATGGAGACGCCTACCGCAGATCTGGGTTAACAGCTGGGGCAGACTTTGTTAGCTAACGCTTTTCACCTGGGATACCATAACTTAAGCCCAAAATGGATTTGCTGGCGCTGCTCGCCCTGTGCTGTCAGATATCGCTTGCACCTAACCAGGGCCCTGAGCAATAAAACAGACAAACTCTAAGAGAGAAAATTACTGGATGAACTCAAGTCTTAGCCAATACATGTAGGCTGAAATAAGAAGCCATTCATTTGGGGACCAGTCTGACTCACCGTATATGACAACTATGCCGTGAAATTATCTTCTTCTCTGAGCCAAGGAAGGACTTGCAGCCAGGGGCACCACAAGAGGGGGGTGGAAAGGGACCAAGCTGGCTTTGGGAGTGCTGCTTCCAGGGAGGGAGCGGTAGAGGCCTGGGGAATGGGATTACTGCCACCAGCCCTACTTTTTCCTTCACAGCTGGGCTGGCCCCACCCAGGTGCCCGAACTCCATCATAATCTCTTAACACCTCAAGTGGCATTCCAAGTCGCAGGCAACTGGCTGGAGCAAAGGGCCCAGCCCGCACACCCGGGGCCGCTCGTGGGCACAGAAAAGCATCAAGCCCACCTAGCAATTCAACTTTGTGGACTCAGGATCAAATCTGAGTCTCCATTAGGGTAACCAGATGTCCCGATTTTATAGGGACAGTCCTGATTTTTGGGTCTTTTTCTTATATAGGTTCCTATTACCCCCCCACCCCCTGTCCTGATTTGTTGTCTGGTCACCCTAGTCTCCATCCCCAGACTCCAGCCCCTAATCCCCCACAGCACCCCAGAGTGTCTACTACAATCTCCTCCCTTCGCCGCTAATATTATTTGGTAAAAATTCAGACAATGTTCCATAAATTTTTTAGACTTCACCCACCCCCGTCTTGAGACTCCATGTGGTGCCCCTGATTACAGCCCCATTTCTATCACGTCATTCTTTCGGGTTCAGTATTAAAGCCTTTACCCAAACTATAGTTATTTCTATATATTACTTACAGTCCAGCAGAGCTTGAGAACTCATCTGAAGTGTAACTGGTTTCGTCTCTCCATCAAAGTTTAAACGTGATTATTTGCCACTCTGCATACAAAATAGATGGCATAGTTTTAGAAAGATGTTAAGATACTTCTGAGATTTCAGAAGCTTTCTGCCAACTCTAGATGTTTTACTGTTAACACTAAAGCTGGTTGGAAAATGGAAAGCATTCCCCCCCACTCGCTCCTTCCCCACCCCCAAAAAATGTCAGTTGTTTTTGTTCTGCAGGTTTAGAGAAATGACGACTTTGGTTCAGTATTGAATTTGGGGGCTTTTTTGTTTTCCCATTTTGCCCTTTTCCTCCTTTTTTTCTTTACCCTCTAACCCTTTTCTTTTTTTCTTCGCCATTTTGCCACTGCAAAATGGGGGGGAAGACAAAAACAGGAAAAACATGAATGAAAAAAGCATTTTTTTTCTTTTCTAATTCTATTTAAAAACAACAAATTGAAACAAAACCCACCCTTTTTTTGCAAAAATTTCCAGTTTTGAAAAAAAGGCCATTTTTCAATGAAAAAATGTAGCATTTGGAAAGCGTCGACCAGAGCTAGGTACCTCTTTGTTATCTGGATTTCCCTAACATTGCGATCCAGATTCAGAACTTCTCCAGAAGTGCAGCCCAAACCAACATTAAGAACACTGAAGGGTAAGAAGCAGAATTCTTGCTTCCCATGTGAGAGAGCTGGGTTTGATTTCCAATCAATACACAGTTTACCTGAAATTAGAATACATGATCTCGTGCTTCTTTCTGGCCTTAAAAGCTATGAATCCATCCAGCTTCTGATTGCTTTTAACAACACATGACCTGCTTTGTAATAGGGCATGGGATGGAATGGTCCCTCCCTCAGAGAGCTCCAAGAAGTAAAGGTTGTATCTTGCTTCTCCTTCTGTCTCCCTTGAGAGAGAGCAGGTCAGATACTCTCCCAGCATTTGCCACCTCCCAATCCCCTCTTGTTAATCCTGTCTTGTGCACTTTTACTTCGCTTTTTAAAAAACTTACCTGCTTCTGCATGCCCTGCCACGAACTATGTGAAGAGGAGGAGAAGAGAGAATCAAAATGGAGGACAATCCATTTATAGAATAAGCCCCTCCCACAGGAGAATTATGTCAGTTAGTGGGTGGAGCTTGTCCCTATATAAGTAGAGCCCTGGGCATAATAGCACCTAGTTTAGGTGAATTCTAGAGAAGAAGGAGCAACAAGATAGCTCTAAGCTGCTAAGTTTTCTTTAGGGAAATATTATTACACATTTTTTTTGTATATTACTGTCTTCCACCTGCTCTGTATCATTTTTCCATGTGCTCTGTAAGCATGTTGTATACATTAATCACCTGTGCTCTCTGCTCTATTAAAAACAAAAAATGCACGCTGGCATGTTCATTCAGCAGCTTAGCACTTGTCTTCACTGCAACCGTTAGCTCAAGTGGGTACGCTCAAGTTACATCACTTGAGTTAGCCTAGCTCAAGTGAGAACGGCCACACTGTAAAACGCCACTTAGGCTACGCAGAATGATTGGATTAGCAACTGATGAGTTGTGCTAACTTGAGCAGTAGCCTGTAGCGACATTCCCCCCTTGTATTGATGGCTCGAACTTCAGCAACACTCAAACTTCAACCCACCCATGCCAGCTAGCTTGAATTTGAAGCACTGGTTAACTTAAGAACATGAGAATAGCCATACTGGGTCAATCCAATGGTCTATTTAGCCCACTATTCTGTCTTCCAACAGTGGCTGGTGCCAGATGCTTCAGAAGGAATGAACAGAGCAGGCAATTATTGAGTGATCCATCCCCTATTGCCCAGTCCCCACCAGCGCTAGAAATTTTTGTGTGTATGGATGGGAGTCTGGTTAGAGGCAAGGCTCAAATTACACCTTGAGTTAACACTGCAGTGAAGACAAACCCTCACCTAACGTTTCCATAGTACGTGTGTTTTTCTTTATTTGAGCTCCGCCAACCAACCCAGCCTTTGTGTTTTATTTTTTTGTTTTCTTTTCTCCTCTCTCTCTCTTTCTCTTTCTCTCTCCCCTGTATCAGGGAAGTGAAGGGGTTGTGCCACTGATGTAGTTACTTCACCTCTTTGAGAGGCTGTAGCTAAGTCAACAGAAGAGGTCTTCCATTGATCTAGCTGTACAGAGGCGCCGACTCCATGGGTGCTCTGGGGCTGGAGCACCCACGGGTGGGAAATGGTGGTTGCTGAGCACCCACCGGCAGCCCCCCATCAGCTCCTTCCCCTCCCCCCCAGTGCCTCCTGCCCATCGCAGATCAGCTGTTCTGCGGTGTGCAGGAGGCACTGGACCGGGAGGAATGGGGGCAGAGGGCACTCAGGGGAGGGGGCAGCACAGGACAGGAAGAGGCGGGGCAGGGGTGGAGCGGGGCTGGGAGCAGGACAGAGGAAGGAAGAGGCAGGGCAGGGGTGGGGAAAGGGATGGAGTGGGGGCGGGGCCTGCAGGCCCCCAACTCATTAGGAAGTCAGCACCTCTGTAGCTGTGTCTACACTTGGGGTTAGAGTCAACTTAACTATGCCTCTCAGGGCATGACATTTTTCACAGCCCTGGGCAAATTAGCAAGGTCGATCTCATTTTTAAGTGTACGTCAGACTCTCGAGTGACAAGGACTTAGTGTCAGGGCATACCCAATATCCCAAATGATGAATCCCCTTAGTGTTCATTACACCCGTGTCCCATCTCTGTCCTGAGAGATGCTACAAGTACAATCTCAGACTTGGAGGTGACCAAGGTCTCTAATTTCTATAAATTCCCCCACGTTTAACTTTCCAGCCTGAGCAAACTTGCTCTTATCATAGGTACCCCAACCAGTTGTGTCTAGGCAGCTAGAGGGTATCACAGTAACTGCTGAAGCCTTAGCATACATCCTAGAAAATCCGTCCTGCCATAGGTCCCGAAATAGTCTGTCAATAATGGGCTATTAATGGCATCGATTATTATTTTTAAACAAAAAGACAAAGGATGTGTTTGAGCCTCAGAAATGTGGCGACAAAACAACTACACTTAATTTCAAGGAAACGATACCATCCGGTCCTATGGCTGAGTTGCTATTACACAACTAAGGCTGGATCCTGCCTCACAGTAGAGGTGCCACAAAAGAGTATATATAGATTATATATCTATAATTTGCCTGGAGGAATAGCCATGTGGTGTAGGCTAGCCGAACCATCACAGCCAGCTCTTTGTAATCCTGTTACTCTCATGACCCCTGGTATAGTAGGGGCCATGAGTAATCCCTGGAAGATATAATGTTTCCCACCAATGCAATTTAGAGCAGCCCTGAGGCTGTTCTAATTAGCGATGGGGACCAAACAGACTACTTGCAGCCTCAGGAATCCAGAGAGAACAAAGGTGATTGTGGTATCTTTACTCTCTGCACAATATTAAAAATATGGGGAAGCCTCACAGATATAGTTGGGTTCCAAAGAGCCATGTTTACCAACTATTTACAAACATGCAAGGCCTGGCTCCATGTATACTGCCGCTCGCTAAGAGTCTGGTAGCTTCTGCAATAGAAGACAGGGAGACAGCCAAACTGCTTAAAGGGATATTATCTAATTCCTATACGTTTCAGTGGTTTAGGACCTGTGTTTGTCCCTCCCTTAATACAACTTAAGGTCTGGTCTACACTTTAAAGTTTTGCTAGTCTAGGCGAGCATTGGGGGGTAAGGGGGCGGAGAGAAGCCAGCAGGGGGCGGGGCCTCGGACAAAGAGGCATTCCAAGGGCAGGCACTCAGAGGGAAGGAGCAGTGTGGGGGCAGCTCCGGTTCTGGCTCCGGTGGCCCCACACACACACTTTTATGGAGCTTCTGCTGCACCTGAATTGGTGTCACTCCAATGAAGTCAATGGAGCTGTGCTGGTTTACATCAGCTGAGGAGCTAGCCCCCATTGCACCGTACTGTTGTTTTTCCCCCAAAAAAAGGATTCATTCTTTTACAAGTCGAGCTGATTGGAAAATGGTAAAAATGATTTGGCAATAAATAAATGAATAGATTGAAATGTCAAGGTTGTTTCCATTTCACAGGCTGTCACATGGCCCCATTTTCTGAAAAATGTTCTGTGATTTTTTTTTGTTACCAACGTTTTCATCAAAATTATTTTCTGGATTTTTTTTTAAACTTATCATTTACTGGCTACACACTTTTGGTAAAAAAAAAATGTGTTTTTTCCTTGATGAAAGCTTTGTAGAAGGATTTCAAAAATGACAGGAAAAAATCATGGAAAATTTGGGGAAAAATTGAAAAATCTAGGGCTTTTTTTAATGTTTCATTTTGGGGGAAGAAAGGAGGAATTAACTTTACATGTAAAACATATCAACCAGCTCTATTGACACATTTTGGCCCAATCCCCTGTGAATTGCAAACTCTGAATCCAACCCAGTTGGAATGATCAGTAACACAGGCTGGAGCAAATTTTATAATAAACAAGAGTCTGATTCTCTTTTCACTTACTCAAACGTAAATCAGGAGTGACGAGGTTGAAGTCCCTGGGCGTACACCAGAGTAAAGCCAGAGTGAGAGGATAATCAGCCCAGGAGTTTTGACAATGGCTCTTGCAAAATGTCACTCCACCTTCTTAATATACTTTGCACAAGACTCTCGTCCACTGCACATTCTCTCTGCTAAGTGAACTACAGCTGCAAGTGCCGCTCACTTCAAAAAGCTCCCTCCTGGACAGTTTCTTTCCTTGAATGAGAGGCATGATCTTACCCAGACCAGAATCCTCATTGCCCACGCTACTTGTGTGGTCTCCTCAAAAGGTTCCCAGCATGCTATCACCCTCGGTATCCACGGAGCAGGTGTCAGAGGTATCCAGTACCCCGTCACCCCCTATGCAGCCTTGCAAAGTCATTAGTGGCCTTAAATTGTTGGAGCAGAGAGAAGTGGGAAATTCCAATCCAGCTGTTACCTCCCTGGTTGGGATGGTACGTGTGAGCAGCTGTTTGTACCTGATGTATTCCAAGGTGTGATGTGCTATACAGGGAAAACTGAGGGGAGCCTAGCTCTAAATGGTCCAGTTCATTTACCCGTCTTTTAGCTGGTCCTGAGTTGAGGATGATGGGCCACCATTTTGCTCTTGCTGACACTTGGCCAAATTCTGGCCCTATATTGAATATCTCCTAGAGAAGAACGGTGCAGCTCCAGCAACAATAGACACTTGTCACCTAGTGATCACAGCTCCCAGGTTCAGGTCCTGATTCTGATGAGTCATTATTATTTTATTTAATAATTGTAATAAAGTAGTGCCCGGAGGTCCATGTCAGGATCAGGGCCTCATTGTGCCAAGGGTTATACGAACACATAAGCAGACATAGTTCCTGACAGTTTACAATCTAAGAAGACAAGTGTCATTTGAAAGGTAGCGAGTGATAAAAACAATCCAGTAGATATTATTTTTGCAGGTGTGTTTATATTTGCTATTTTTTTCTTACCATAAACAAGTCAGGTAAGTGCCTCAGCTTAGCCATTGTTGGTTGGCTGATCTCTTATAGGAATTATGGTGCCCATGTGTCTTGGAGATTAATGTTATACCTGTAGCTAATTCATTGTAGATCCTGGTGTTACACCTCATTTCTACCAGTGTAACTGAGCTGAGGTCCACAGAGATTAGTGTCACCAGAAGCAGGGGATAGTTTCATGGGCTGGGGATTGTGTCATGTGAATGGCTTGGATCAAACACAGAGTCACATGGACACCAACCATGGAACAGCAGGCTACAGCTTCAGTTAGAGGCAGGACCGGCTCCAGGTTTTTTGCCGCCCCAAGCAGGGGAAAAAAAGCAGGTCCCACCACCGAAGCAAAAAAAAAACATTGGAGTGTCGCTCTTTGAGAAGTGCCACCTCCAAAGAGCCGGAATGCCACCCCTTGAGAAGGGCCGCCCCAAGCACATGCTTGGAACGCTGGTGCCTAGAGCCGGCCCTGGTTAGGGGAAGCCTCCAGACTGTCGTCACTATGCCTGGTTTGCAATGGAATCAAAATTGGGATTCCACCCCACTTTTCTCCTCCTGCTCAGCCCAGTGGCCTCTCCCAGCTAGGCACAGGTACAAACTGCCTCATAG